CAGACGAATAATCGTGGCTTGTATTCATTTGAAATTATGCATTATTAATCCTCTTGTCGTGTAATATTATACATTTGTTTATTTATACATGCATATATTTACTGAAGCGCGGAAACACATAAAGTAAGCCTGTGATATTTTAATCGACACTACTTTTCTTCGCGATACCCCCCTTCAACATTTTTCGATACTTGTAAAATACAAAGAGTAACAATGGCTTAAAAGCAGAATAAATTTATGCAAAGGGAACGAAAGTAAATTGAGAATATTTATAAGTTCTATCTTAAAGTTGCATCAAAGGTACGATTTGTGCCACGAGTTAAACTTTCTTCAAATCCAGCATCTTGCCAAAATTTCCACATATAACCATTAAAATTGTTTACCCTCACTTTCAATTGGCAAGGCTGGCATTGATTTGACATTTCGGGCTAGTCGTATGCGATAATTGAGTGTCTTGAGGTGAAAGTTACAATTTTTAGCTTTACTATCAAAATACAGGGTATACAAATTAAATAGTTTAAGAATAATTTAATGCCAAAACTGTTTAATGTGCTAGGCACTCCATAAATCTAAACTTCATTTAAAGAATGAAAGAACACCATTTAACTAAATCTGATCCGTCTTACCCCGTGAGCATAAATGCTGTAGATTAGACTACCGAATTCATGCAGCAGCATTTGCTTTTATCAGTTATTTCAATATCTTTGACTAAGTAATCGCATGACTAAGTAAGCAAAATAACAGGAATCGAATTCTTATTACTAATACTTTGTTGAGATAAAAGAACAATGAATGAACGCCCTCTGTTGTAAGCTTTATTTCATATTCATTTTAGTAATTTTCAAAATCTCATCATTATTCGTTTTTCAAACGGCAATTATAATAAAATAAAAAGAATACTGGAAAACAATTTACAAGTCTTACTTAATAATAATTACTTGAAAATGATAAACTATTCAATTTGGGTAATTGTAAGATATGACGTATTCGAAACGGAATTGGCTTTTTAAAAAAATATTAAATAAAAAGTAATTTTTATACACGAATCATGTCCTATTCGCTAAAACAATTGATATCACATAAATCAGGGTTTATAGTCTGAAATCTGAAATCGGCCTTCGACCCAGGAAATAAGTGACAAGAAATTGCATATGTGCTTGCAAAATAAAATATAATATGGCATTGACTCACCGTTATTTGCGACAGTTATTCATCATCTATTAAGTTTTATCTAAACTAATTAGTTAAATACATGATTGTAACTGAAAATGTATTTTAATTATACAAAACACTTACTTATATAGTAAAACTTGTAGATAAGAGAGCTTTAGGCAGCAAAAAATAATTATTGATATATTTGGAACAAATATATTGCTCTTATTTTGTCTATAAAATGTACGAAATTTGTTTGACTTAACTACATGTAAGCTTAGACGCCATTTCATTTCCATAACGACGTATGAAATTGTGGTCTTATCTAATATAAATTGTATAATTCTTTATTACTTAGAAGCTTCTACAATTTATATTTCATATGCCCGTTGATTATTCAATAATAAATACGATACTTTATTTCATTTTACCTGTTAATTCACTTTTGATATTCTAAAGGTTCTTCATGTTATCACAAGCGGACCGTTGTTAGTTTCGTCGTGCTCCTGCCGTCGTAGAGATAATTGAAGCTGACTGCAATATTGGTGGGTTGTCATCATATTCTGCGTTTGTTTTATCAACGCAGTTATGTCACATAAAGTGGAAATTGCCGATAGAAGACGTAATTTCGTTGATTTCTCCGACGAATCGAGTATGAAGCATCGAAGGTATGTGTAAGCACATGGGACGCCATATTGCATGTGACTTTTTTTATTTGACATGTGATTGGCAATTCAAGTATTCACATGTATTTTTATTAACTTTGCTCTCTTAAAAATTTCTGGTTTTTTTTGTAGAACTAATATTTCTGAACTTTCCAAGTCTGGGCAAGTTGAAAATGAGAAACGCGTACGGCGCGAGATTGCAAACCACAATGAAAGGCGTCGCATGCAAAGCATAAATGCCGGTTTTGAAAATCTTAGAGGTCTCCTTCCCCCCACTCAAGATGGCGAAAAGTTAAGCAAAGTAAGTGTTATTTTTTAACTTTTATTGTTGATAGGCATCCATTCTGCAACAGACAGCTAAACTTATAACTAATTTGCATGGAAGAATTAGTGCACTTGAACAAGAATTAGAACTATATCGGCGTTCTGGCTTACCTCCGTCATCAGTATTAGCTGACATAACGGAAGAAGTTGCTACTGGATTTCCTAGAAAACGTCGCGCTGATGATCAAAGTAAATTTTCTTAATTTTTTGAATATTTCCGCCTAGGTAAATCGCCCGATTCCCTAAAATTAGGCAAATCGGATGTTGAAACGTCAATTTTAGACCTTGACGATGGTAATGTCTCTGGCAGGTCATCTGATTGCTATGACGGCAATTTCGGGTGCTCCCCCTCGTCTATTACGCGTCTGTCAGTGTTTCCCCATGTTTCAACACCAGAGAGCTCTGTGAACGCAAATCCTCGTTTGGAACATTTGGTAATGGCCATTGAACAGATTGAAGGCCCACCAGGAAATGCTTCTTCGCAATTGATCGAAAAACCTATCTCTAGAATCGATCCTTATGTTTACCCTCCACAAGCACAGACCGTTTATTATAAATTTTCCGATCCCGTAATTGAATCGAGACCATCTTTTACTTATGGTTTGAATTCAAGTGATTTTGTTCATGCGAAACAAGGCATCAATTCATTCGCTGAAGAATTTGTTCTAACTTCTCCACCATCAGCTTTGACCCCTACTATTGTTTCTGCATGTGAAGATAAATCTGTTAAAGATATGTCCTCTGATGTCTATCATCCCGTTGCTAAAATGCTCCATCGTCCTATTCCGCACAAATACCTTCATCGTCCTCAAGTCGTAGTTAATAATTCTCATTAACTTCAGCGCAGATTCATTATTTCTCGCAGCTTCCGGCGCTCTTTAATGGTTTGCTGTACTGTACATATTCTGTTCGAATCCCTGTCTTATCGTTTTCTTACCTACGTACACGGTTTTATAGATCGTCGCGACTCGGTTGAGTTGTGAGCCCCCCGTAGGTTGAATTTTTCGCCGTTTGCTGGCGTTTCATTTGTACATTGATGCTTCTCAACCGGCCCTCTATCCATTAATACTCCCTTATTGGTGTCCTGGTTCTTCTAATACGGCTATATTGTTCTTTTCTACCCAATCTCTCGACTTCGGTCAAGATAGCTTCCTTTTAAACAATGATTTGTTTTCTTCCTGGATTAAAAAAAATGTCAATCAAAATTTTTTTGTTCTTATTTCAGGGTCGGGGAGCTGAATTATCTCATAGTTGCATATCTTGTGTACCGTCGTTACATCAGCTGACTTAGGCGTTGATTGCAGTCTGTCTCGGTACTTATCACACAATCTTGAGAAGGGTTTTACATAAAATACAATTGTCGCTAACAATGTTCGATTTCAAATGGTTTACAAAATTCGTTTAAATGGGTGCAAAATGTGTGTACTTCATGATGTATCCACAAAGTAGTTCTGACTCATCGAATCTTAACTGTTCTGCCAACTAAACTCTATTTCGTGGTTAGTAAGCTTAGATAAACAAGTTCGGATTAGAATTGAAAATAGTAATGGGGCTGCCAAATGTCTATTATGCAAAATAAGTGGTTTAATTTCCCACAAATTAATGTTTGATGTGGGCATACTTGTCCAGATTTATAGTTGCAACTCTAAACTGAGGAAGGCTAATATTGTATATTTGGGGTGTGCGATAGATTTACTTCCACGTGGTGCACCCTGGGCAACGTATACTCATACGACAAAAAAGTCTATTAACCGGCAGTTGACTCCTCACTTCAAACTACCATGGCCCGACCGCTTGTCATATTCGACCCCTTTCACAGTACTCATCTTGCCTTTTTCTCTACCTCTGTGTCTGTCTGACTCTTTTACATCTGTGAATCGCTCTTCTGATCCCCACCCCTCGACTTTCTGCTACTTTGATGAACCTTCCTTCTGTGAAGCCCGAAGTCAACTAAATGGCTAATGATAGCTATCATAACGCCTGCCATTTGAAATAAATAAATATTGCATAATTTGTTCAAAGGACGAGATGCTGAGAGGTTAGTCTCTCTCCCTGTGCATATATACTCGAAACACTCCTATTGAGAAGACTAGGCTCTTTCGCCTTTGTTGTTTTTATTTAAAATGCTTAGGACTAGGAAATTCGTACGAAGTGTAAATCCTTTTTGAGTCTCCCCCTAACTGTAATGAATCTGGGGATTCTCCTTTCGGCAATGAATAATTAAACAACAGTCAACCTGTGGTGTTACTCCACTGTCGTTTACGATGGGCTGGTGCTGGTTCATTTTTGTTCCAGTATTTTTGGGCATCCAGCCAAATCTCGCTATACACACGCTGCCGAAACACAGTCATGTGTTTTCACGCTCGCCTGAAGGCCATGTGCACAGCTGATTGGTGAATGGGGTGCATACGCACATGCCTACACGTGTAGGATTGGTGGACAGGCTGCACGGACGCACTCCCGATCACGTCATAGGTAATCTCTCACCGAAAAGGCAAAGTTGGCAGTCAGCCCAAAGGTAGTACCGACACACTTGAGTGAATCTCGCCGCTAACCGTGCAAATCAGCGAAATTTATTTCTGTTCTACCCGCTCTCTGTTCTCTGTTTCTTTTTTTTTAATGACGAGAAGCAAAGACAATCTTGTGTGTTGTTGGTCGAATTCATAAGGTCAAGTGAAGGACTTTCTTTTTGAGATTAGTGTGTGATGCCAAGTGCATCTAGGTACTTAAAAGAGCACACTTGTTTAGTTGAAT